TTGCTATATCCATACGAATAATATAAAAAAGAACATTTATGTATCAGCCAGAAAAAAAACTAAATTTACTAATTAGAAAATTACTTTGTGCATATTTAAAACTGCAGTCCGTAACTGTTTTTGGTTAAAAATGATCCAAAATCAATATTTGAGCAAGTACATAACCAGCTAGTGTTCAAAACTACCGCCTTACTTTAGCCCGATTCACAACGGTTAGCTTATAATAATGTTTTCTAATTTGAGTGGTACTGGTAGGAATTTGCGGGAAATTCAAGCATGCTGTTATGTCATTACGTAATTACGTACGTCATTACGTAAACATAAAGAAGTTGTCCTGGCTAACTAGGCTATCACATGTGATATTATGATTATTTACCTTTATGACTTTATGACAATTGCAGTTTTTGTGAAATTGTTCTCAGAATGATGGCTTTATCAGTTTAATTACAATTAATGTTCTGTAAAAATATTGACCAGAGAGGATGCTGGCTGAAATATTTTCAGAGTTAAGATGTTTAACTGTGTTTTTAAGCCCATCATAACAGAACACTCTCCATAACACATGTATGTTCTGCGTGAAATGTCAAAATAACCGTTATTAATTACAAAGGCAGTGTTATAAGTTGAGGAGCAAACCCAGCTCAGACAGATGCTTATTAATGTTTTAGTCATGGTTATTTTCTGTGGGTACAGTAAAGGGTGACAAACAGCCACATAACGATCAACAGCAATTAAAACTAAATTACTAAGAGATGCTGAGAGAAGCATTGCAATAAATATTGAATAGAGTCCACAGAAAGTGTCTCCAAAGTACCAACACAACTTAATCAGCCTCGTGGCCTCTATGGGCATCACAAGTCCAATAAGCATGTCAGCCACAGCCAGAGTGTCCTAACAGGTTGAAAACCCCTGATATAGACTATGGTGGCCCTCAATAGTCTAATCTGTTCCACTACAGTCTCATAATGAACCAAAAATATTTTTTTAACTTTTCATATTTGCCTAAAAGGTCTCTAAAGGCTTGTTCACACCGGGATGAATACCGCACGCGATTATCGCCGACGTTTAACGCCTTGTGAGTGTGCACACTGACGCGCAAAACGGCATAAAAGCGTCATTTTTTAAAAACCGCCTCGGGCTCGTTTTTTGGGTTTGACGGGCCGCATTAAAAACTGGCCGACCTGTTCACGTGCCTGGAGCTGCTGAAGTTACAGTAAAACAAGACTTGGTGGCGCTCAAGCACAAAACGGTCTTGCCGAGCACACGATCGCTGTGTCTCATTTAGAAGGCTGCACCCTCCGGAGGTCGCATTCGAAGGCTGCATACGTCATCGAGACTCATTTCAGAAAAGCATGCAGGACACTCTGATTGCGCAGATGCAAGCGCAGCTGTGGTGTTTACAACTTACCTTAAATCGCCTCGGTAAAAACGGATAAACTTTGTTTTTAATATCCTCCTCCTTTTTTTCTCTAACATATGTCTGCTGTACGTACGCTGCAGCTCCTCAAACATTGAACAAAATAAAATAAGTAAAAGCATTTTTTTTTTTCAAATTACTTTCCAAATTTAGAAATAATTTTCCTTCATTTAAGTAGTGTGAGAGCGCAAAGATGCTCTAAATGTGTTGGCATAGCAACGTGATACTTCCTGTTTCCTTTTCCGCCTGTCCTACGAAGGCCGTCTCGTTTAATCTAGGTTGAGGACACTTCGTATATATACATCCTACAGAGGATGCGACCTCCAGAGGGTTCGACCTCCGGAGGGCGCAGCCTTCTAAATGAGACACAGCTAGTGATACCTAACGACGAAGAGGAAGTAAGTAGACCAAGAAGATGCATAGAGCTCCGGAGGTTGACGTCACGTACTCTAAACTCCACCATTTTGGCAGGCAATCAGGAGAGCGCTAGAGCATTTGTATCGACAGTTGTACAACAATAATTTAAAACCAGACCTTACAAACCTTACTATTTCAACATGGTGGACAGCTGCTGTGCACCAGGAGGCCAGAACAGGCAGGGGAAAGCTAGGGTTGCCAACCGTCCCGTATTAGCCGGGATGTCCCGTATATTGGGCTTAGTTTGTGTGTCCCGTACGTGACCTCCCTTGGCCCGTTTCTTAAAGAAAGAATGAATGCAAGGAGCATGCAATGTTACTAATGAAGAAAAACAGACTGGATGTGTGCAAGACAATATGACAACATTTATAAGATGCATTGAGGAGGAGCCCAAACTACACTCAATGACCAAGTGATGCAGCCATAATTATGGTCCATGATATTGGCACAAAGTGTAATAAACAATTCTTTGTCACTGTATATAGTTCTCAAGTTGGAAAAGACGTTTAGTTCCCACTTTAAGTGAACCTTACTTCCCAGGACATCAACAAGAGGGATTTAAATGGATTTAAATGCTGATGCTGTAAAAGGAGGGGAGACATAAACACAAAACAGTACGACTAACAGTGCCTAATTTAGTAAGGCTCCATAAAGGGGTCATATGATGCGATTTCATTTTTTCCTTTCTCTTTGGAGTGTTACAAGCTCTTGGTGCATAAAGAAGATCTGTAAAGTTGTAAAGACTAAAGTCTCAAATCCAAAGAGATATTCTTTATAAAAGTTAAGAGTTAGCCACACCTACCTAAAACGGCTCGTTCGAACACGCCCCCACATATCTACCACACTATGTGGGAAGATTTGCATAACACCGCCCAAATGTTCACGCAAAAAAAGAAGGCGTAACTTTTATTCTCGCTGTAGTATTGTTGACGCTGCCGCCATGTCCTGAAGACGCTGTGTGCTTCGTTGGGAAAGCAATGCTTTTTTGTTTGGTCTTCCAAAAG